TATTTTTATAGGTTAGTTCGGGTTGATTGGATCTCTGGCGGGATGGGGCAGCGGACTGTCAGAGGATTTCACCCTACGAGAACATTAAGTTTTACTGCTTTTTAAATTTATTAGTTGTTTGAGAATGCTTAACTTGTTTTAAAAACATAATTTGTATTTTAATTTAAATTTATGAATGTTTTGTTTATTTAGAAAAATAGAATTCTACAATTCCGCATTTTAAGTACATGAAAATTATTGTTGGTAACACCTCAAGATGAATGAAATTTTGGGGAGTTACTTCTCACCGGAGTCGTTATCTTACGTACTGTCTGCTCTGGGGTGGGCAAGTTGCTCAATTGGTACCAGGATTCAACTTAAGTCTCCCATATGATGGAGGTCTTGGGTTCAAATCCTAGGGGACGCGTCAGAGAGCCGTGAGGGGATAAGTAGGTAGAAGCCCACCCCAGAGTGGACAGTACGTAAGACAACGGCTCCGGTGAGAGGCCAGGGCCTTACACCTAGCGCCTACTTGAGTAAAGGCATTAACAATAGGAATTTAGGCCTATCCATCTATGAAAAGGAATTACTGGCTTTAGTAACAGATGTGGGGAAGTGGAGGCATTATCTAGAGGGGCGTCATTTCATCATCAAGACGTATCATCAATCCCTTAAATACTTGCTAAAGCAAAGAATCACCATACCACTGCAACATAAATGGTTGATGAAGCTATTGGGGCTAGGTTATGAGATCCAATATAAAAAGGGGTTGGATAATAAGGTAGCAAATGCACTATCTAGAAGGAAGGAAAAAGCACAGAATGTTGGACAATCACTACTATGACACCGGTGTGGATGCAAGAAGTGATAACCAGCTACCAAGGAGATGAAGAAGCAAGTAGTAAAATAACTGCATTGCTACTCAATGCACTCACAGAGTTAGATCACACTTATGCAGATGGATTGCTCAAGTATAAGTCCAGGCTTTATATTGGATCTAATGGGGAAATAAGGAAAAGACTGATCGCTACTATACACTCCTCTCAAGAAGGGGGGCATTCAGGAGTGCAAGCCAGTATTCATAAAGCCAAACATCATTTTTTCTAGCTTGGTATGGTAAAGAAATCAGACAAGAAGTTCTAGAATGTGATACTTGTCAAAGGTGTAATGATGAACATGTAGCCTATCCTCGGTTGTTGCAGCCCCTACCAGAGCCACAGTATGCTTGGAGCCACATATCAATGGATTTTGTGGAAGGTTTACCTACTTCTGGGGCAAAGATTGTCATATTGGTTGTTGTTGACAGATTCACCAAATATGGTCATTTTCTTACACTGGCTCACGATTTCTCAGCAACGCATGTAGCCATGCAATTCTTAGATAATATCTATAAATTACATGGGATAGAATTTTTACAAGTGAGTTTTGGTAGGAGTTGTTCAAAAACATGGAAACCACATTACAGCTAAGCTCAGCCTATCACCCATAGACAAATGAACATACTGAAAGGCTTATCAATGCCTTGAAATGTACCCAGATGTGTGGTCTATCATCAGCCTAAGCAATGGAGTAGATGGATGAGCCTGGCTAAGTGGTGGTACAATACAACTTTGCACAGTGCTATCAAGATGACTCCATTTGAAGCCCTTTATGGCATTAAACCCCCACAATTAGCTCTCGGGCCTTATCACCACCTCAAGGTGGCTGCAATGGAAGAACTTTTACAGGAAAGACACAAAATGGATCAGGCATTAAGAGAGAACTTGGCACAGGCAAGAGCACGGATGAAGCAATACGTAGACAAACATAGAAGTGAAAGGGAATTTCTAGTGGGTGATTGGGTGCACCTCAAACTACACCCTTATGCACAGCAGACAATAGCCAAGAGAGTGAACCAAAAGTTAGCAGCAAAATACTATGGCCCTTACAGAGTAATTCAGAGAATTGGGAAGGTTGCTTACAAATTAGAACTACCCCCAAGGTTAAAATCCATCATGTATTTCATGTTTCTTTATTAAAGAAAAAATTTGGGAAGAAAGTAGTTCCAATCTATACATTACTAGCATTGTACAAGGGAATGGGAGACTACAAACAACCTGGCAGGGTTCTATTTTCCCGAATCGTTAAAGGAAACAACCAAGCTGTTACTCAGTGGCTAGGGCAATGAGAAGGGACCAATGTGGAAGATGCAACCTGGGAATCTGCTGATTTTATTAAATCAACATTTCTTTCTTTTGAACCTTGGAGACAAGGTTATTTTATGGGGGATGGATGTTATGGAGACAAATGACAATCAGAGAAAGCCTGGGGAAGAAAGAAGAGGAGAAGCAGCCTTGAAAAGAAATAAAGAAGGAAGCAAGAAGAGGCTACGGTCACTAACGGCTAACACATTTTGAAAGGGCAACATACGGTGTCGTTTTGTTTGTCTTTATTTTGTTAAAGTTGTAATTGACCAAAACACGTTTTTGCTCTTTCTTGCAACTTTCCATTTTGATATAACTATAAAGAGGGAGAGATAGATGCAGTGATTAGATGTGTGTTAAATACCATTTTTTCTCTTTGAACTCTATCCCTCTCTCTC